GTTCTAAAGAAGTTCGGATCAAGCATCCCTAGAACCTTCCACGAGAGGAGCTCAAATATGCTTTCCCTGGAGAATGTGGGGAATTATCAGGGATACAGACAGGAGAATGGCCCAAAAAATCATCTGTTGCATGATAAAGAGACATCTTCAGATGAGGATCCGAGGTCTAACTCTGAGAGAGACTTGGACACTCATATGATGCATCTGTCAGGGAATCATTCAGGGGAGAGCCTAGGTCAGAAACAACTTGAAAATGCCCTGACAGTACATTTGAGCAAGAAATTTGAGGAAATCAATGAGGGTCGAATGCCTGGGACTGTGCATAGTTCATGGCATTCAGTCAAGCAGACGATGTCTCTTCCTGAGGAATCCCACAGCCAAATAAAACATCGAAATTTGGCAGCATTGGTGAGTGAGGACCACTGCGTTGATACTTCCCAGGAGATTTCCTTCCTTAGTCCCAACAAACAAAAGATGTTGGAAGCCCATATTAAATCTTTCCATATGAGGATGCTGTGGGGCCTTCCCCGCAAGATCCTTGAATCCATAGAAATCTTCAAATCGAAAGAGGATCTTTCCACTTCCTTTTCCCATTTCGACATTCCATCCTCAGCCAGCTTTATTTCTTGGGGAGATTCCAAAGTTGGCGTCTCTAAGTTTCGTAGACGAAGCTCTTTTCAAGGGGAAAAGTTGGGAACAACAAGTTCAGTCCCTGTCCTCGATGGTCCTCATCCTGTCACCTCACCTGTCGGCAAAGAAGGGCAGGACACCCTGAGAAGACAATATTCTGATACTGACCATGACTTTATAGAGTTAGATTCCGAAGATGGGGCCTCCGCGCTGCTTAGAAGAGGCACTGCAGATTTTCAAGGAGAAATATTAGAATCAACAAACTCATTACCCATCCTTGGTCATTCTCCCCTCGTCACCTCACCTGTCGACCAAGAAAAGCAGGTGACCCTGGGAAGAGAATTCGCTGATACTGTTAATGATCTTACAGAAAGTGTCCCAACAACTGAGGATGGCGGACAGACTTTTCTGCCCCCCGCACATAGCATCATAGATGAGGTCAGTCAGAAACAGACTGTACCGGCCAGTAGATCCAGCGCAGAGCTGCCCATAATGCAAGCTGGAGTTGGCCGTGAGTCAAAGGATAAGAGAGAGAGTGCCAGTAATAATGTTAACAGGCTTCAGGGCAGTAGAAAGACCTTTCCTGTCACCAATGGGTCGAAGGAGATGTTCAAGGAAGAGGAGACCTGTGCTCTTCAATCACAAACTAGGAACAACTTGACATCCAGCAAGTCAGGAAGCTGCTCAGTGACAAATGTGAAAACAAGCACATCTCATGAAACTGAAATTTTCCCACCAAGAGTATCAGTTCCCCAAGATCCTAAATCATCATATCTTAAAAATCAGATGCTGAATCAGTTAAAGTTGGTCCAGAGGAAGGATAGCCAACCTCAGAGCCATTTCACTGACACGTCTATTGCCTTAGAGAACTTGAGTTCCAAGGACTTACTGACTCATCCCCAGGGCATCTCCAGTGGGGATATGGGAACTTCCCAGGTGTTGCATGTCCACTTGGAAGACAGAGGGATCTGTGTGGCACAGCAGCAGGAGCCCAGGGTCCCTACCCATGTCTTACAGAAGTGTCAAGTTAAGAATTTCCCACCAGCTATAAAGAGAGTGAGCCCTAGGAGACCCAAAGGAGGAGAGCTTGGTGGGGGGGATGCAGGGTTGGAGACATCCCAACTCAGGAGAAAGAGCCACGCTATTCATAACAAGACATCAGGGGAGGTGCTTGGGAGCAAATCTTCCCCAACCTTGAAAACACAGCCTCTTCCTGAAAACCTTTTCAGAAAGTGGATGAAGACCTTTTTGCAGCGGTTTAATAAACCCAGCATAACAGATGAAGAGCAAGAAATTTCTCGGGCAAAGGGTAGCTCCCTGTCGTCATCTGTGCAGAATAGAGGTCGAGTTACAAGAAGAGCTGCCTTTATTGGGACTACTGAAGCTCAGAAAATTAGGAAAGACACTAGGGATTCCCCAGAGGTGAAGCTGGGGCATAAGCGTGGGATAGATGTCACCTGTCCCCAAGAGCCTGTTTCCTTCCCAGTGGAGCTTGGGAAAGCTCAGCACAACCCAGAAGTGCAGGTCACAGCAGAGCCTGTCCTGGGCTATCCCTGCAACTACATGGCTCCCTCCTGCAAACTGACATGTACCAAATCTTGCAGCCAACAAGCTGTCTTTGTTGGCCAGAATTATCCTACAAGGATTAGACAGAACACAGACAAGGACAGACAGCCTGAGAAAGTTGAGGCATTTAAGGGGAAGCTATTGTGTCAAAGGCATCCCCAATCCGTTACCCACAAGGAAGCCTATGCCACATTCAAACCCCACTTGCCGGCATCAGGTCAGCCTGGTGTGTCCAGCCGTCCCGACCAGTGCTAAAAGCACTGTGTTCAGTGATGTGCCTTTACTAACTAGA